CCTTAATTTCTTCTCAGAGCAGTGGCTATATTAGTTACCTGTGGCTGCTGTAACAAATGACCACGAACGTGGTGGCTTAGAACCACCAAAAGTTGTCCTCTTAGAGTGTGGGAGACCAGAAATCTGAACTGTCTTAGGGGCCTAATCAAAGTGTCAAACAGGGCTGTGCTTTCTTGGGAAGGCTCCAGGGGAGAATCCCTTTCCAGCCTCTTGCACCTTCTGGTGGCCGCTGACATTCTCAACTTGTGGCCATGTCACTCCTTTGCCTCTGCAGTCAATCTTTCTGCCTCTGAGGTCACTTGGTCTTCCCCTGATCTGTCTGTGTATCAAATATCCTTCTTAAAGGGATTGTACTTAGGGCGAGTCTGGATTATCCAGAATAATCTCCCCATCTCAGAATCCTTATCACATCTGGAAAATGCCTTTTGCCAAATAAGGATGATATTCACAGGCTCCCAGGATTAGGGTGTGGGTATCTTGGGGGCCCATTATCTAGCCCATCTCAGGCTTCTTATCCATTCAACACTTCAACAAATATCTATTGAGCACCTACTGTGTGCTGGGCTGTGTTCTAAGCAAAGGGGGTTCATAAAGAGTGTTTTTCAGACCCATTCGCCCTCAGGGTGAATGACCCTTATCTGGGCTCTTTACCTCCTGGTGCTTGCCTGTTCAGTCACTAAGTCATGTTTGGCTCTTGGCATCCCCGTGGACTGTAGCTCACCAGGCTCCTCTGTCCATGGGACTTTCCAGGCAAGAATACTGGAATGGGTTGCCATTTCTTCTTCAAGGGGATCTTCCTGACCAGGGATAGAACCTTCATCTCCTGCGTCTCCTGCATTGGCAGGTGGATTCTTTCCCACTGCGCCACCTGGGAAGCCTTCTCTCCTGGAATGTGGTATTTTTACATAGCATGATCATCACACTGTATCACCATTACATGCCTGTCTCTTTCCATTTCTATGAGCCCCTTTAAGATTAAGCTAACTTACTAATATTTGTACCTAATGCTAGATGGGACTCCATGAAGGTTTGTTAAATCAATGAACAAGTCTCTTATGGCTTCCCTTCATTCCTGCTAAATATATTTCTAATTTCCTCAGATGTTATGTGAAAGTCACTCAGTTGTGTCCAACTCTTTGCAACCCCATGGACTATAGCCTGCCAGGCTCCTCTGACCATGGAATTCTTCAGGCAAGAATATTGGTGTGGGATGCCATTTCTTTCTCCAATAATACAGTTCTGTCTCAGAATGAAATGTTTAGAGTCTGGCCTTCTTGGTGGTTGTCTCCTTTAGGCCTGGGTGATGGGCTATAGCTGTTGAGGGCATATGCTGCCCTACTTTGCTCCATCCCTAGAAGTGTTATGTACAATTGTTTCTTTAATGCTTCCCATTAGTCATTTCTATTGCCCATTGGCTTTGGGAGGAATGTGGGAGAGAGGAAGTGGGAACATTAGAAGACTCCTGGGTCACATTTCCTGAGGCCTTTACCTCTTGGTGTCATCCACGCATGGCTCATCTATACCTACCACCTCTGGTAGGACAGCACAGTTCAGATCTGGTAAGACAGTGCTCTTTGCTTCCCTTGGCAGGTGAGATGAATCATCTCCCCTGTAGGGCCTTTTCCCACAAGACCTAACATGATACAGAAGAGGGACAGACCATATTATGTATGGCCTTGTGATGTTGGTTTACAATTTTAAAGTTAATCCCTGTTTCCCTGTCTTAGGAAAGCAAAAATATATTTAGTACAATAAATTAGAGGTGACCACTGAAGGCTCGTGAATCTGTACATAGCCCTTGGAAATGTGGGGTATGGTTGTGACCAAATGTCTAGAAAAAGCATTTTGAAAGGCAATGTGACTCGTAACTTCACTCTTAATTGTCTTTAAACACTGGCCCTTGCTTGTTTCAGTTTTCTGTATGGCCCCCTCACACACTGGCTTTGAAACCTCACCAGTACCTGTTTCCTACAGCGTTATGTGTTGCTTTTCCAGGTGGAAAGTGAAAGTGGAAGTCAATCAGTTGTGTCCAACTCTTTGTGACCCCATGGACTAAACAGTCCCTGGGATTCTCCAGGCCAGAATACTAGAGTGGGTAGTCTTTCCCTTCTCCAAGGGATCTTCCCAACCCAGGGATGGAACCCAGGTCTCCCGTACTGCAGGCAGATTCTTTACCAGCTGAGCCACAAGGGAAGCCCAAGAATACTGGAGTGGGGAGCCTGTCCCTTCTCCAGGGGATCTTCCTGACCCAGGAATTGAACCAGGGTCTCCTGCATTGCAGGTGGATCCTTTATAACTGAGCTATCAGGGAAGCCCATTCTTTTCCAAGTGGAAAAGAATCTAACAATAAAGGTCATCTCTCTCTCTCACACACACACACATACCCCACATCCTTGTAACTCTCTGGCCTCCAATAGAACCTAACAAAGTAAATAGATAGATTGATCTGTTTAATCTAAATTTAAATTTATCACCAAATATCTATTGGAGACAGATATTTGGATGTTGATTAGTTGTACCATGCTTTCCAAGCTGTGTCATTCATTCACCTCTTAGATAAATTTTGTCACATACCTATACCACTCATGATGTCATTTTATTAATATTTGTATTTAATTTGCCTCAAATGTTAACTTGTAGAAACTTATTTTAAAAGGAAATACTGCATCTATACCATAAATAGAAAACCAACATCATTTATTATATATAGAATGTAACTGTAAAAATAAATACACTGAAAGCAAAACAATGTTATTCACCAAAAAATTTAAATGAACAAGGAAATGCAAAGCAATGAAAATCAAATTGATTCACAGAATCTAATTGATTTACAAAAATGAGATGCTCAGTGAGAGAAACAGAATGGCTATGACCATTCAGTAATAAAAGAATATTAAGCTTAAAGTCATTTGATTTAATATGACCATGGGTTTCTATGTCAATTAAATTATAACATCTTTCAGTTTTGAGAGTGATCAGCCCTAAAAATTCCACCTCACATGCACCCACCATCAGACAGGACATCTTACCATGACCCAGATGGTAAATTTTAAAAATTAAAATGTTTTTATATATTATTATATATTATTTTTGTTGTTGTTGTGCTCAGTTGTGTCTGACTCTTTGCAACCCCATGGACTGCAGCACGCCAGGCCTCCCTGTCCAGCCCCATCTCCTGGAGCTTGCTCAAACTCACATCCATTGAGTTGGTGATGCCATCCAACCATCTCATTCTCTGTCATCCCCTTCTCCTCCTGCCTTCAATCTTTCTCAGCATCAGGGTCTTTTCCAATGAGTCAGTTCTTTGCATTAGGTGGCCAAAGTATTGGAGCTTCAACTTCAGTATCAGTTCTTCCAGTGAATATTCAGGACTGATTTCCTTTAGGATTGACTGGTTTGATCCCCTTGCAGTCCAAGGGAATCTCAAGAGTCTTCTTCAACACCACAGTGCAAAAGCATTAAAAGTATGTATTATTAGTACATGTAAAAGAATATAGGTATTCATAACTTCCTTTATGTGATATTACAAATCATAATTATAAAATGAATCTGGGAACCTACCTCCTCTTAGAAACAATACTATTGAGTGTGCTTCCTCTCTGATTCTTGTCCTTGCCTCTCTCTCCTCCCCATCTCAGGTAAAAATTTTCTTGAATTCCTTTACATTTGAAAATAGTTTAACCACATATGGCATTCCTGAACACTATGTTATTTAGATATGCTTGAATATGAGCTTTATAAAAATGCTGTCATAGTGTCAGTATCTTCTAGGGGACTGGATAATCAACTATGGTATGCGTATCCAACAGAGTGTTATTTCAAGTGAAAATGAATACTTCATACTGGTATGAGGCCACTTGGATTAACCTTGTAAGGCATGAAGCTGGTCACCAACTCTCATTCTGCTCAGACCTCACCTTAAGAGAAATTTAAGGGTGGGTGAAATGAAAAGGACTTCCCTTCCTCCACCTTTCACACCACAGTTACTTCTTATGGGGAATAGAAGCCTAAAGCTGCTCTCCTTAGAAGGTCTGCTGGCAAGACTGGCCCTTAGCTGGCATGGGAGAACTTGGGTTTGGGAAGTGTCCCCACCATCCCCTGGTAAGAGAGACTCACTCTGCCTAAGCGATCCAAACAGTATGATTCATGCTAACACCTGGTTTCCCCCTGGGAGCTGAAATCTTGGTATATGGCAGACAGAGGTGTCTAGGGGGCCAGCACCCCTGCCCACTTTCCGCCAGTAAAAATCACAGGCAGAGTCTCTGATGAGTTTCCCGGGTAGACAGCATTTCACGTGTGTCGTGATAGCTCATAGCTGGGGTGTGAAGTGTGTCCTGTGTGACTCCACTGGGGAAAGACTCTTGTTATCTGGGCCAGCTTTCCATCTCTTTGCAGGTTGCCCCATGCACCTTTGTCTTTGCTAATTTTTTGTTGTATCCTCTTGCAGTTATAAGTCATAGCCCTGAGTATGATTTCCCTGGTGGCTCAGATGGTAAAGAATCTGCCTGCAATGCAGAAGACCTGGGCTCAATCCCTGGGTTGAGAAGATTCCCCTGGAGAAGGGAATGGCAGCCCACTCCAGTATTCTTGCCTGGAGAATTCCATGACAGAAGAGCCTGGTGGGCTACAGTCCGTGGGGTCATAAAGAGTCAGACATGACTAAGCGAATAGCACTTATTTCACGTGAGTAGGACTGTTGAATCCTCTGAGTCTTCCTGGGACCAGTCTTGGGGATCCTGACACTCTTCCAAACCTTCCTTTTTCCTGTGCCTCTCTGAAACCTGAATAGAGGGGCCTTGGCTCTGGGCTTTACATTGTACTTTGGAGGGCCCTGAATCTCTATCTCACACACACACACGTGCATTCACACATACACACACCACATACACACACCTCTGACACTTGGGATCTGGAACTCAGAGCTGGCCCAGCAATCTGTAACCCTAAACACCAGCCCTCATTCTATCACCATTCAGACCCCCAGGAAACTTTCTGCACACCTCTTGCTTCATGTCCTGGAAAACTGCATCAAACCGCATGAAGGTGGTGTGCTGAACACCTCCAAGAATGTCAGAGGCAGACATCGCCTCAGAAAACAGAAGGATCTGAGCAGAAGTGCTTGGGTAAGAGAAAAGGCAAATTAATTAACTTGTCAAATCCTTCCTCTCAGCTTGAACGCAGTAGATGCTTGTATAACGAATTATTGTTTCTCAGCAGTGCCAAACATTCATTTCCTTGCTTCCCTTCATGTTCCAGCTCCTGGTTCTGGAGATAAGAATAAGCACAGTATTCACAACACTTGCACGTAGATACTGAAGTGTATTTTACTGTAGTAAACAATTCATATGGCTCTTAAATTTGTGTATATGCTGCTCAAGACACAGTATGTGCGAAGCGTGACATCAGCTCCTTGGTGACTAGTCGGATGCTGAATCATAGAATTGCAAACTGTTTAATTTTTGTAAAAATATTAAATATTGAAATTTTCAAGAAATTAAAAATTTCAGCTTTAAGTATCATTGATTAAAATATTTTATACTCATTATTATGATTTATATTTTTCTGTTTAATTTTGGTAGCAATTTAAAATATAGAGAAGAAGTAACTTTTCACTGAACTCCTATTGAATTATAATTTTAATTTTTTCAATTTTAACACATATTTTTATGGTATTTTAAAAATGAAAATACATTCACAGTTATTCCCTTGAATATACATTTTATTTTTAAATTATTAGATACTTATTGTCCATAGAATAACATTTTGTAACAATGAACATGCTTGGAGATTTTGCTGAAGTGATGGCAAAAAATAAATGAAATAAATATAAAATAATACATGAGCTAAGGCTGTCTTTATTTTAATGCTCATCTGAATATTACCAGTCCATTAATGGAACACCCAGACACACACAGTAGTAATTAGGTTAGTTTGTCTTTGATGGAAGGCTTTAGTTCATATAAAAGCCACAACTTTATTAACTTTTTATGTCTTATTATGAAGATGTTTTTGTCAAGGTAGAGCATAGGGCATCATAGCTGATGTAGCAGTTGGCTTGTGGTTTAGCTTTTGCTCGTGTAGACATGTGGTGTGGGGCCCCCAGGTGCAGGCAGCCTGTTTCCCCCACCTCTTTTTATTTTTCTGATAAATTTTGTAAATAATGAGAGAGTCATTTCCTAGGCAGGTTGATAAGAAGTTCGGGGTCCCCGAGGAGGAGAAAGGGGTCTGGGGCTCTCAAGGAGGTGATAGGGGTCTGGAGTTCTCAAGGAGGAGGAAAGGACAAACGTTTTTTACTACATTCTTTAGTAAGGATTATGTAACAATAATGTACCCTGCTCGAGGACATGTTTCTCCTTCCTGAAAATCTTCTGACTGATCCTGTTATCTTAAAATGTATGTTATGAGAGTGGGTCTAGTAAGATCTTTACAACCTTGAGATATTCTTTTGATTTATTCTAATAACCAATTAAAAAGTATATAATTCCCTTGCTAAGACTAGGGATTGGGGGCACTTTCCATCCCCCTTCTGATGTCTATGTCAGAAGATTTCTCTGTCCTTTTTTATACTTTAGTAAAACTCTGCTACACAAAAGTTCTTGAGTGATCAAGCCCGGTCCCTGGTCCCAAAGTTAAATCTTCTTCGGAGATCATGAATCCGACACTGTTCACTGTAAGCTATCAATAATACATGTTCTTTGTTTTTTGAACTGGAGGATAATTTCTTGACAACGTTGTGTTAGTTTCTGCTGTATAACAGCGCGAATCAGCTACGTGTACACATATATACCCTCCCTCTCAGCCCACCCCCTAACCCACCCCTCTGTGTCATCACAGGGCAGTCCATCCTGAGGGAGGTCTGTCCTGGGTGTTCATTGGAAGGACTGAGGTTGAAGCTGAAACTCCAATACTTTGGCTACCTGATGCGAAGAGCTGACTCCTTTGAAAAGACCCTGATGCCGGGAAAGATTGAGGGCAGGAGGAGAAAGGGACGACAGAAGGTGAGATGGTTGGATGGCATCGCTGACTCAATGGACGTGGGTTTGGGTGGACTCTGGGAGTTGGTGATGGACAGGGAGGCCTGGCGTGCTGTGGTTCATGGGGTCGCAAGGAGTCGGACACGACTGAGCGACTGAAATGAACTGAACTGAGCTCCCTGGGTTGTATAGCAGCTTCCTGCTAGCTCTCTATTTTACACATGGTAGCGTATGTATTACTCCCACTCCTCCCCTCTTCACACACAGTTCTAGCGGGGCCTGGGTTCTGGTGTGGAGCGAGTGCCTGGCAGTCTTGTGGACCAGGGCACGGCTGATTCAGTGTTCCTGTGTCACCAGGGCCAAGGCCACACCAAGGCCACGGGAGAGAGGAGCCCTAGTTGCCTCCCCAGTGGCCTCTGTGGGAAGCCTGGAAAAGCCTCCTGCATGCAACCCTCGGGTGTCCACACACTAAGCTGAAAACATGGATGCTAGGAAGGTGGTCAAGTGTGGGCTTGGCAATGGTTTCAATTTTAGCTCTGCAACCTTCCAGAAAGGTCACTCCAGGCAAACTTCCTGAACCTCTTTGAAATTGTTTTGACATGTCTAAAACAGGACTACTCATTCCTACTTTCCAGCCTTGTGAAAATTGGAGATTTGTATTTAAAACTCATAACATAGTCCTTTGGTTGTGGCTTCATACATGTTTACCTATGTTTTGGGACAGGGAAACTGAAGACATTAAACAAGAGGCTAAAGTCATCCTGGTGGTTACTGGAAGGAAGAATTCAGGTATTTTGATGCCTTGCCCATTTTCTCAGCTCAGTTCAGTTCAGTCATTCAGTTGTGTCTGACTCTTTATGACCCCATGGACTGCAGCATGCCAGGCTTCCCTGTCCATCAGCAACTCCTGGAGTTTATTCAAACTCATGTCCATTGAGTTGGTGATGCCATCCAACAATCTCATCCTCTGTCATCCCCTTCTCCTCCTGCCTTTAATCTTTCCCGGCATCAGTCTTTCCAAATAAGTCAGTTCTTCGCATCAGGTAGCTAAAGTATTGGAGTTTCAGCTTCAGCATCAGTCCTTCCAAGGAATATTCAGGACTGATTTCCTTTAGGATGGGCTGCTTGGATCTCCTTGCAGTCCAAGGCACTCTCAACAGTCTTCTCTAACACCACAGTTCAAAAGCATTGATTCTTTGGCACTCAGCTTTTTTTTATAGTCCAACTCTCACATCCATACATAACTACTGGAAAAACCATAGCTTTGACTAGATGGACCACTGTTGGCAAAGTGATGTCTCTGTTTTTTAATATGCTGTCTAGGTTGGTCATAGCTTTTCTTCCAAGGAGCAAGAATCTTTTAATTTCATGGCTGCAGCACCATCTGCAGTGATTTTGGAGCCCCAGAAATAATGTCTGTCACTGTTTCCACTGTTTCTCCATCTATTTGCCATGAAGTGATGGGACCAGATGCCACGATCTTAGTTTTCTGAATGCTGAATTTTAAGGCAACTTTTTCATTCTCCTCTTTCACTTTTATCAAGAGGCTTTTTAGTTCATCTTCACTTCTGCCATAGGGTGGTATCATCTGCATATCTGAGGTAATTGATATTTCTCCTAGCATCTTGATTCCAGCTTGTGCTTCATCCAGCCCAGCATTTTTCATCTGCATGTAAGTTAAATAAGCAGGGTGACAATATACAGCCTTGACATACTCCTTTCCCAATTTGGAACCAGTCTGTTGTTCCATGTCCAGTTCTGTTGCTTCCTGACCTACATATAGATTTCTCAGGAGGAAGGTCAAGTGGTCTGGTATTCCCATCTCTTTAAGAATTGTCCAGTTTGTTGTGGTCCACACAGTCAAAGGCTTTGGCATAGTCAATAAAGCAGAAGTTAATGTTTTACTGGAATTCTCTTGCTTTTTCAATGATCCAGCGGATGTTGGCAATTTGATCGCTGGTTCCTCTGCCTTTTCTAAAACCAGCTTGAACATCTGGAAGTTCACAGTTCACATATTGCTGAAGGCTGGCTTGGAGAATTTTGAGCATGACTTTGCTAGCATGTGAGATGAGTGCAATTGTGCAGTAGTTTGAACATTCTTTGATATTGCCTTTCTTTGGGATTGTAGTGAAAACTGACATTTTCTAGTCTTATGGCCACTGCTGAGTTTTCCAAATTTGCTGGCATATTGGGTGCAGCACTTTCACAGCATCATCTTTTAGGATTTGAAATAGCTCAACTGGAATTCCATCACCTCCACTAACTTTGTTCATACTGATGCTTCCTAAGGCCCACCTCACTTCGCATTCCAGGATGTCCGGCTCTAGGTGAGTGAACACACCATCATGATTATCTGGGTCATGAAGATTTTTGTGTATAGTTCTGGGTATTCTCGCCACCTCTTCTTAATAGCTTCTGATTCTGTTAGGTCCATACCATTTCTGTCCTTTACTGTGCCCATCTTTGCATGAAATGTGCCCTTGGTATCTCTAATTTTCTTGAAAAGATCTATAGTCTCTCCCATTCTATTGTTTTCCTCTATTTCTTTGCATTGATCACCGAGGAAGGCTTTCTTATCTCTCCTCGCTATTCTTTGGAACTCTGCGTTTAAATGGGTATATCTTTCCTTTTCTCCTTTGCCTTTTGCTTCTCTTCTTTTCACAGCTATATGTGGGCCTCCTCAGAAAACCATTTTGCCTTTTTACATTTCTTTTTCTTGGGGATGGTTCTGATCCCTGCCTCCTATACAATGTCATGGACTTTTGTCCATAGTTCTTTAGGCACTCTGTCTATCAGATCTAATCCCTTGAATCTATTTGTCATTTCCACTGTGTAATTGTAATGGATTTGATTTAGGTCATACCTGAACTGTCAAAAAAGATCTTCACGACCCAGATAATCATGAAGGTGTGATCACTCACACTCTCCTAGAGCCGGACATCCTGGAATGTGAAGTCAGGTGGGCCTTAGGAAACATCACTATGAACAAAGTTAGTGGAGGTGATGGAATTCCAGTTGAGCTATTTCAAATCCTAAAATATGATGCTGTGAAAGTGCTGCACTCAATATGTCAGCAAATTTGGAAAACTCAGCACCGGCCACAGGACTGGAAAAGGTCAGTTTTCATTCCA